AGTTAATTTAACAGGCAGTGGTTAATGATAACTCAAAATCTCGGCCAAATGAGGCGTCTGTGAAGGAGTGGGTCGCCGTCGGAGGGTTCAGATGAAATGGAATAAGCTATGTTAAAAAAAAAAAAAATGCTGCTCATTTCCAACTGCCTGCGGATGCCATTAGCAAGGTTTTGTAAAGATTTATTATCTCGGTAAATCACACGTGTTCATTCGAAGCGGAGATAAGTTAGCATCCCGCTTTCTTTATAAAAATAATAATAAGAGGGAGGAAAAGTCCTGTTGGCTAAACAAACAACCCTATTAAGAAAACGGTAGTGGAAATAATGCCGAGACTGATTCGCTCTAGAAAGAAATACCAGCATTTTGGCACACACGGGGTAAGGGAATCGCGCTCTGAAATGCAAACAAACGGAACCATGCCCAAATTGGAGAGAGGGGGAAAAAAATCAGGGCAGTTTTCGAGCGCCAACTACTTCTTCGCTTCTACAGAAGATGCAAATTCAAATAGCCCTTATTCCGAAGAAACTGGGAAGTTTTTGCACCAATGCACTTGCGAACACACGCTATTTATGTGCAAGTTGAAAAATATCCTCCAACATTAAAACGGTGGCATGTTACTAAGAAGGGAGAGGGTGTTTCTAAAGAAAATATGATTTTTTCCCACTCATCTCACTTAGTATTCTTTCTAACACATAAATCTGCTTTTTCAACGATCATGCTGGTAGTTTAGTTCTGCACTTCACATTTTAAGTTCACATCAAAACTGGAATTAAACAGAGAGGCAGCGTGGAGAGTAAACTGCAGCTTAAATGAGAAAAACTTCTGTAAGAAAATAAACACTGAAACCTAATGCTCAATCATTTCCCTTAGCAGTAAGAAAAACAGCATTAAATCACCTATCCACGTGGGAAACTGATTTTTTTTTTTCCCTGCTGATCTCTTCCCCCTTTAAAATAAAACAAGATTAAGGGTTTCAATATTGAAATGTTAACCATCCTGATTCGGCGAAAGTTTATGTAAACGGAGCCCCTGCTTTTGTCTGGAAAATCAAACGCCTCTCCGCGCCTAAACGATCCGTCCCCAGTAGGACAGAGACTGCAAACCCTCCTTTTCCCTCTCTGTTCGCGTAAGGAGAATGGGACCCTCAAAATATTCCTAACTAAAAAAGAAAAAAAAAACCAACCAAACAAAAACTATTTATTGCGCCACTTTCCACTTTTTTTTTTTTTTGTGGTGGTGGCTTTGATTTTTTTTTTCTTCCTTCACTGTTGGGTACTGGCGAGGGTCGGTGAAGAATTACCCCGCTAGTTATAGCGACCGGGTCTTTTTTGAAGAAAAATTCTTTTAGTCCTTCGACATTCCGGAGATTTTTCTAGATATTTTTTGAGGCTACGTTACTTGCCATTAACTGTTTAATGTTAAATTGCAATTTTAGGATTTTTTTTTAAATAAGCGTTAACTCACGAGTGAATTTATCAGGAAGTTCTCCTTTAAAAAAAAAAAAAAATCTTCCTTACTGTCCTCAGCGATTTAGCAGATCTTCAGCCTTTCCAAAAGCTGTCTGATCACCGAAAACTACTGTGTGTCTTATAGGCTCTCTCCCCCGGAGACAGAGGAGTTTTAGCACTGAGGTGATGCAAGCTACCTAAGCCACTGAACGCTTTTCGCCCTTGACAGTTTTAATCTGCTGGAGACGTAGTAAAGTGAAATCAGGGGTAGAGGGAACAACCCAGGCGTTTTAATAGCTCGTGAGAATTACACAGCCATTACGAGAGGGAGTTCGTTGGAAAACCTCTCCTCGGTTTATCAAGTTTATTCGGTGCCACCGGTTTGTGTTTAGATTTCTGGGGGGTGAGACGGAAACGGCACCGCGATGATTCTGTGTGCGTGACTCTCCTGGCGTCCCACTCCCAGAAATCTCTCTCGTTTCCAAAACGAACCCGAAATCTACCCACCTTCTCTCTCTCTAGGAACCCTCCAGCCGTAAAAATATGCAGACAAACGCACACCGATTCTTCCCGCCCGTCCCCCTGTCCCCAGCCCCGCGTGTGCGCGGCGATGAGGAGTGTATATCTTTCTGTACGTGATTATTTACAACCAGCCCCTATGCAAGCACTCTCCGGGCAGATGGAAATCCGCTCTTGTACCGGGGGAAGGGGGGGTGGGTTACACTGGAACGGCAGCTCGCTCTTACGGAGGCAACGCTTCTCTGTCCCGACTCCTCCAAGAAGTCCTTAGATGTATGGCATGACACTTCGCCGAGCCTCCTGCTACCCATCCCCAAGCCCTTTGGCCAACTCCCCGGGTCCGTCCCGATGCTTGTACCGCTTTCCTCCCCAGGGAAAAACCAGCAATCGGGCCCCCCATTCGATCCTTCCAACATCCCTACCCTGCCTCCTGCTTTCAGAAAGGCTTTTCCTTTGGGTGAGCGATTTCCCTGGCTGCCGCTACCTGCCCTCCCTTCCCAGCCAAGCAGTGACTTCTTTTTTTCTGGCGGGGGGCACCAGGAGACCAGGATCCCCCCCTCTTCCTCGCCTCCCGCCCGCTGCAGCC